AGCTAACTAGTTTGACAGGCAGGTATAAAACTGCTTCCAGCAACCATAATGGTGAGTCATTCATGGGTAGCGTGTCAAAATAAAAATGTTTTCCATTCAAGGAGCGTTTCTTCCAGGCTGATTTATTGTGAGGGTGGCAAGACTTTTATTCTCCAGTGGTAGGCAGGCCATCAGTGTCCTGGACCCTGGACTGTTCCTACATAAAACTTATGTATAATGCTTACTGCATTAGGGCAAAAAAGGCCACGTGGGTACCTCTGACTTCATTAGCAGACATTTATAACATCCTTTAGACTAAATGAAAGGCATCAAGGGAGTATCAAGCTGGATCATTAAAACATTCTCCTGTCTGGAATTAAGGGAAATTTGTCAAATTATCAGCATCTCCTTGAAGGTAAGTTTCCAAGCCAAAATGCATTACTTCTGCTAGCATATGGTAGGGTATTACATCATTGCTAAAACTGTGTGTGTACATCTCCCTGTAACAATTCTGTCTTATTTCCTTGGAATACATAGGAAACTGCATACACCCGAAGTGCTCCTTGTGCTATTGCTTGTTATTCAGCAGAATCTCGCTGTTTACTACTGTCTTACTTTAAACTTTGCAGAGTACTTTGGAACAAGTCTAACATCTGAAAGGAATTAGTCCAATGACTGTGCTTGGAGCTCAGTTATTCAGTGCTAGCTGACAAATGCTGGGAGCCAGATGTCTGTCAATTCCTGTTTTTAGTTGATCAGAATAAGCCCCATTCACAAGGCTGAAAGTCAGCACTTTCCTTTTGTCTTTAAAGCATGCTGAATTCTCTTGCTGTAGCTACAAGTCTTGTTATCACAATTACTCATACTGCTTTTGGCAGTGAAATGCTTTCACAGCCTCTCCTCTCCAATTGCATGTAAAATGAGGTTATCAAATTTATCTCTTTCTATAATTCATCATCTAGGGATGTCAGCATATTTGGATTCTGCCTGTAGCTTCATGGTATGACAGCGCCTACCATTTCCGTGTAGCTGCACCGGTAAGCCTTTTTCAAATGAAAGAGACCAAAAGAAAAATAATGTTTTAGCTGAGATTAGTTTCTACATTAATCTCTTTCATTTTTCTCCTACAGGATCTTGCAGACTGCACAACAGATCCTAATTATGCTGGGATGTTTTTTACTGATTACTACTTCTATTTCTATCGACAGTGTAACTAAAGTATTGCCTATCATTCTGTTTGTTGGAAAAAAGCTAATATACTTGGTACTGAAAACAGCTGAAGTATTGTCTTTTGGAGTTTTTTTTGCAAACTTTTCCCAAGTTTTGCAGGGTGTTTCTTTTGTTTCTGTTTAGCTATCCACTTTAAGGGGAAAAAAAGTACTTGAATGTAATCCAGGCTCAGCATTTCCAATCATTGTTTAAAAGAATACGATTTCTGACAATGAATGAAGCATTTGATGTGTGAACGTTAAATAATTCCATTGATCTTGGTAAAGCCATGAGATAAAGTATATGGAGGGGAAAAAATAAAGCAGAGCTCTGCTGATCCCTGATATGCTTCAGCTTTTAAGACTATCAGATGGTAAACTATCAGTTACAGTTGAGAGACCTGCTTTTGTCCTACAGGCACCTGCCTCCCATTAATGTCTTCCTTTTTCCTTATTGTATATAAACTTTCCCAAAAGAAAAAGCTTTGTTAGGGGGAAGGTTTTACAAATGCAATATTCCATGAATGTAAGCACAAGTTTATAAAAATACCTTCTTAAATACTCTTTTCTCCTAACTCCATACTGCATGTAATTATTTCCTTGGGTTATATGAAAAAACACAAGCACCAACATCACTCTCAGCAACAATGATGTTCCTGTTGGAACGAAATGTGTACCTGTGGTGTGGGTTTTTTTACACCATGCAAAAAATAACCCATTTTTTCTGGTGTTTCTGATATTCTGGTGCTTAAGGTTTGTGTTAGGATGACAGAAGAATGGGAAAATAGAAGAATAACAATGGGGTGTTTTTGTAGAGTTTTGAAAGATGGATATGTGTAGTTTTTAGTATCTACATAGAAATGGTATTGTGTGTTTAGGAAATATCATTTACAGTGAATGTTGTTTGGGTGACTGAATTTCAAACTGCACACTGGTTGCTGACAGAGGAAATATATTTAATGCACAAATACATTATGAATAGTGAATGCTGTCAGTGAATGTGAGTATGTATACACAATTTTTTTCCATATATATGTATATGTGTATATATGTGGAGCATGAGGAAAAAAATATATAATGACTATATTCTAAAGATTTAGAGACTATTTGTGAAAGTTGCACACAAGAAATCTTAACCATGAATTAACCAAGGCTTTGTTTTTCATTTTGGGAAATTTCCCAGTTGTCTATGTTAGTATATAATAGGGTTGATACTTATTTGCGTGGTTAATCAGGAGCCAAAGAAATGGAAAAATCAAATGTCTTGATTGACTGACCATAAACGTGTTTAATGTCTTAATTATATACTTATTGCATATGGGGAGTAGGGAGAAGTTGGTTGGGTGCCTCAACTATATGTTTCTTACCTTGCTATATTTGGATGTCTTTCTACTATAGTACTACTAGTTCTACCCTTATTATATTTGGATGTCTTTTAAGGGTGAGTTTGTAAGGCTTGGTTGGAAAATGATTGCACCATCCTTGTAGTGAATTCTCCATATTCTTGCCCTTAACACAGTGGTTCTCACCCTTTTTTGTACCAGGACCCATTTGCAAAGATTGGGTTGTCCTGACCCACACGCCCCCTGGCCCGGTTGGTGCCTGACCCACAGTGCCCCGTCCCCCTGTCCTGCTGCAGCCTCAGTGCCGAGCCACCTCTTCCCCCAGTGCTGGTAGGCACCTGTGCCTCGCCCCCACCCCAACACACACACCCATCCCCTCTACATGCACATATGCACGCGCACATACCCCCCACAACAATCCCCAAGTCCTGACCCTCCACCCCCTGCTCCCCATACGCTTACCTTCATCCAGCTGCTGGGGCTGTTCCCATGCCAGCCTGCAAGGGGAAACCCACGCTTTCACGTATTTTTCTGGCACTTGCTCATGACCCGTTGAAATACTCTTGTGATCCATGGGTTGAGAAATAGGGCTGTGTGAAATTTTGGCGGCTGTTTTGTTTCAGAGGTGTTTCAGGCCGTTTCAGCACCTGACGCACCGAATCCTAATTGAAATGGAAGGCTCCGAAACATTTCCTAAATGTTTTGGAGAATTTCAGAGTTTTGGAGCTGGGCTTGCAGGGAAACAAAAAGTAAGAGGAGGATGGGGAAAGAGTGGGGGAAGGACTGCTCTGATATTAACATCTAGCTCCTGGTTTGATTCCCCATCTCTCTGATCATTTCCCCAGCTCTTCCCAGGGGGGTGCAGGCCCCCAATCTGCATGTGGGGTTTCAGTAGGCTGCCACTGCAGGCTGGGGCCAGCAGCAGCCGCTTGGTGTGGGCTGGGAGAACTGCGGTGCTGCCACTGGCCCCCACCTGCAGTGGCAGCCTGCTGAAACCTGGTGCACAGATCCGGAGGCCTGTGCCCCCTGGGAAGAGCTGGGGGAATGATCAGAGAGCTAGGGAATCAATGGGCTGGGAAATGGAACCAGGAGCTGGGCAATCCCTGCTGTGCGACCTGGCTCCTGCGTGGAGGGCAGCGGCCCTCTCCCTTCCCTGGACAAGCCACCCAGGGCCGTGTCCTGCTGCCCGCTCCGGCCCTGCAGCCCCGGCTCTGCAGCCTTGCCTGGCTTTGTAGGGCTGTGCGACGCTTCCCTTGCAGCCCGTTCAAAACACATTCAGCCAAAATGAAACAGGACAGTGATCCGAAACACTAAAACGAATCACTGTCCTCCGGAATGGTTGAATCTGAGCCCAAATCGAAACACAGCTGTTTCACACAGCCCTATTAAGAAACGCTGCTTTAACATATTAAACGCAGGTAATTACAAAAAGCAGAGGTTTTTTCATAACTTACAATGCACATAATATAGAATATATGTCCTATAAGTTCACGGAGATGTAACTGATTCAGCCAAAACAAGAGAGAGAGAGTGTGTTAAGAAGAAAACCTCCATTCCTTAAGTTCCAAGTCTTTCAACAATGTTTTAATTTTTGCTGTGTGTGTTTACTAACATTTTAAAGCTGGTTGTTACAGTGGGATCAAGCCAATGGCAACTTAGTAGGACACTGCTAATCGCAATGGAATCTTCAATGTTGTATTTGCAAGCAATAATTTATTAATTGCATATTTTTTCTTGGACCCAAAAGAGAAGAAACCCTCTTATCAACACATAGTTTGAATGCAGTTTTGCACACCCCATCAGACTCTGTCTCCTAACTTGACAGGGGACTAGGACCAAAACATGTCTGTAGAATGTTCAAAGGGCTTTGTTACACAATAATTTTAGGCACTCCTGGAGCTCTTAATCCCTGGATTTGCCCACACATTAAAACCTGGAACTAGTTTTAAGCACCCTTTAGGCAGCCTAAAGTTACTGATGCTCCAGGGCAAATTTATCTGGGATGTGTGTTACCAAGCTCATGTTAAGGCCTTGTTGCACAATATACTTGGCACATGCAAATTTTATTGGTGTTAGAATTAGCACATACTTTGATCAGTTGCACATTAAGGGTTAATATCTCCTGTAATCTGCACTGCTCTGACCTGTCCTTGGAGGCCTGGAGAGCAGGGGCATGGCTACGAGCCAAGCTGACTCTGTGCCTTCCCAGCTTGCATGCTCTCAGGGGCAAGGTAGGTGGTTCAGATTGAGGGCAGCCCCTGCTTGTCCTGACTTGGGTCCCTGATGTCCTCCACCACCCAAGCCCACTGGATCTGAGAGGTTAGATGTGAGTGGCAGTACTTTAAGGTTGAATTTTATGGAATTTGTTACTTGATATAGATGCTTCAATCTTTTAATGCTACTCTACTGTTACACTGTAAGTACTGGGCATACATAATCTGAGAACTCATATTTTAGGAAGAAAGGACAGTTTCCATTGTGGACTTGCTCCACTGATAGGCATGGCCCCAGATATCTGCACGCTGAAACCATTCTAGCGTCCAGCATGGAGCGGGGAGGGTGAGTTTACTTCTCAGGGAAAGGAATCCAAACCAGGACCACAGGATGGAAAAATATGGCAAAAATGGTGCAATTAGTCCTGTTTTGTTAGGCATTTTTTCTACCATATCTCAAATAGTAATTTATTGAGTCTTTTGTGTTTCCTGTAAAGAAGCTTCTAATTTACAGTGTAAAAGTATTTCAAGAAAATCTCTAAAGCATATCTATACCTAGCAAACCATTCACTTTGTCCTTTCTCCTCTTATTATTCAAACGACCTGAAAATCCATGTTTCACTTAAAAGCAGGACTTAGTTTTCTTCAAAATAAATGCAGCCTGAATTAATGTCTCTCAAATTTTCCAGAACCACAATGCTGTGTCAGACCAGTTAGTTAAGCCATGTTTAATCAGTGGGTCTGATGCATAGGGAACTAACTGAAGACTTCACAATTCTGTTTCTCGACAGACTACCTGTGTAACTACAGGCAAGTCCTTTAGTTTCTCTGGCTCTCAGTTCCCCCATCTGTAACCCATGGATAATAGCACTTCTCTAGCTCACTGAAGTTGTGGTAAAGATAAATACATGTAAGATGGTGAAATGCTTGGGTTTTGTGCCAATGGATGCCATAAAGGTACTTAAAATAGATAGATATGCCATTTTAAATTAAAATAAAGAAGTTTTTCAATCTCAATTAGTTGTACGGGAAAGTGAGAATGAGTCTTTCAGCTGCTAGTTCATACAGAAATGAGACCCCTTCTATGTATGAATTCAAATATCTAACTTCATAGCCTCAGATTTGAATGCTTTGATTTTAACATATTAATGCAGGGCTCTAATTGATCTGGGGCCCTTCAGTCTTTTATGTAAATATTTATGTAATTATGTAAATATGTTGACTTATGCGCAGGAAACATTTTAAAGCACAGCAGTGATATGCTTACTGGATGACCATGTACACATAGTTAAATATTTCAGGTTGTTAAAGGGATGGACTCCTATACCCCAGCCTGTTTCCTGTATGCACTACAAATCATTACTGTTTATGTGCTTGTTAATTAGTTTCTTCAAACTGAGATTGTTGTGTGTGAATGGACAAACCTATTCAACCTACATTTTTATAAAGAACCCAATTTACTCCCAGATAGCAGCAGTAATGGAATACATTTCAGATGCATAAAATCAATTGAC